CTCTCTGTCTCTGTCTCTTTCAGTCTCTCTCTCTCTCTCTCTCTCTCTCTCGCTCTCTCTGTTATAAATTAGTGTAACATCAAAATGATTTTGAAGCTGATATTTTAAAGTAAAACTGTTAAAAAAAATGTTGCTTTAAAACAGAAGTTAAGACACTGTTGGGGTTTATCCTAAAGTTAGGACAGTATTTAGGAGATTTAGTCTAGTTAGGATGTTTGTGTAATACTGTTTTCATACTGGAGTTAATGATAAGATTATGAGGTTATGTGGAGTGATTATGTCAAACAACATGTACACAGTTAGAAATAAAGATTCTGTGCAGGTAAATTTTCATTCATCAAGGTACAAACAGTGTAAATGTTCCCTCAAAGGTACAACAGTGGTTTTAAGGTCCAACTGTGCATCTTAAATAAGTTTTTCCCAGTGGAAAAAGTACGTATTTGTAGCTTTTAAAACAGAACAATAAAATAAAGTGCCTGGAGATGAGGGGTGTGTGGAGTCAATACAACTTAGAAAATATAATTTCAATGGATTATGATACAATTATGTTCCCTGACTAAAGGTACTGAGATGTACCCTTGTGTGTCCCTCCCCAGTGACAACAGGGGGACTGCCCCAGTGACATTTTCAGACCTTTTTTCTAAGAGTGTACTATAATGAGATACTCATTATATATTTACTTCCTTAAGAAACATTGGTTTACCTTTAAATTACATTATTTATACTGCTTTGAATCAATCAATCATGAGATAATCATTACCTTGTTACAAAATGAGCTGTGAAACACTCAAGGGCTTCAGTGTCCAGAAATGTTTGCTTCAACCAAATGACCGCAGTAATACAACATAGTTGAAGATTTCATGATTTACAGTGCATTAGATTCAAGATAAGTGTCCTCTAGAGGCTAAACAGGTGAACTACAACAACATAGCAGTGATATTTTTTTACACTTTGGATCCGCTTCCCGTTCCTGCTCATCAACACAAAGCACACCGTAGAATCAACAGAGACCAGCAGAGTTCATTTAGAGTTTTCCAGACTCCATCATCTCTACAGAGCATGGAGCGATTTTCACAGATAAAACATCTATTTCACAGGATTTTAGTAACAGTGAATATCAGGGATGTTTGTGGTTTATCTCAGGGTGGTTAAGAGATATAACAGTCCTACTCTCCCCCAGTTCTGTGTTATTCTACCTCCTAAATTATGATGTCAAATGATTACATTTCACTCAATGTAATCACTAAATCTTTCCGCTAATCATGCGATCTGAGCACTCAGATCAATTTGTTCATCATAATCAGGAAATTCATACTGCATTTTCATACGCGTCCAGGAGGAACGTCGCTAACTCTGTGTCCAGCTGTTTCTCTTCACGTATAATAATCCTCTCTATCTTTGAAAACTGGTTTCAGACTTCCTGTATGTCATATGGACTTTAATTAAACTCTGCGTTTGACTCTCATTTATGTGTCTGAGTGTTGCGGAGCATCTCACAACAACACATGCAGCAGTGATGCAGTGTGTCTGAGGAGGAATCAGAGCAGAAGAATGTTGGTCTGTTACCTGCAGCTCCTTCTGCTGCTGTGGTCCAAACAGCCTGCTCAACCTCAGACAATACCAATACATTACAGAGCTCAGTAACACTGAGATTAATAATTGATCACATTGATTTATCAGTCTGCTCGGGCTTTAGCAGAGCTCAGTAACACTGAGATTAATAACGGATCGCATTGATTTATCAGTCTACTCAGGCTTTAGCAGAGCTCAGTAACACTGAGATTAATAACCGATCACAATCTACTCAGACTCACTGTCTCACAGTAACACACTTGGTTTAGTCAGTTATTAGCACCTCTTACTGCTCAAATTATGATTGATTAATGTGTAAAATAACTTCATTATTAAATGTGATGCTTTCTTAAAGAGATTCTCAGTATTTTTTCGGATTTCTGTTCTGTGGTGATAAGTGGCAGGCCAGAGTAACGGAGGTGAAATGTCCCCAGGCGATCAGTACTGGACCAGAGGGGGCGCTCAAGAGCATGAAGAGCTCAACACGCCCACCAAGAGAACACAGATACAGTCTGAGGGCAAAAAGGCAGGAGCTCGCTATTACACTAATTATTACACTAATTATTAATACAGTAATTAATATTGCACTGATTATATTTGTCCTTTGAAAATGACTCAAATAAGTCATTTAGGTCTTTAGGTGAGAATTACTAAAGTCTAAAATACAGAGATCAAATCTGCAATACCTCCACAAATATACAGGCATAATGCAGGTTAGTGAACAAACAAACAAACCAATAAGCAAGTAAATTAATAAATAACTAGCCATCAGTTGAAGTTTGGACTCTGTGTTTAATCATGATTTCAGTTTCATGTTGTGGGAAAACTGTTATCACTTACAGACAGTTACAGCTTCTGCTCCACCCTCTGACGTCTGACCCCTCTCTCAATGAGGACGAGCTACGTCTAAAGATCCCTCTGAATATTCCTGTTTAATCGTTATAAAATATTTATTATCTAAGCAGTCAAACGTTACACTGACCTTTACAATTTATAACAAAAACAGTAATAATAACGTTAAATTATGCTATGCTAATTTCTGTTTTCCAACCCAAAATAAATTACAATAAGTGATAAAACTTTAATATTTCTTAAGATGATTTAACTCTCACGTCACGACTTCATCAACACAAGGAGCTGATGTAGTTTCAGGGAATTTCTGCACATGATTTAAAACGAAAGAAATGATAGAATTTTAGTAAACAAGAAGGTTTCATTATTTATTTATACATTAAGTGAAGGTTTTGTTTCAGTCTTGCTCTTTAACATCTATAAAATGTCTAGAAAATTGTTGATTTCCTCCTTGTGCAACATGCTAGTTGTTTTTATCACATTTATTAATAACTTATAAGTTGTTTATAGGTTTCTTGAGATAAACCATAAAAGAAGGATCCTCATTCAGACAATGTCTTTATTATAACCAAACAAAATAAACACCTTCAGATTGTTTCTTCAGTAACAAACATGCTGCAGAATATTAAACACACTGAACACTCGTAATATCAACACTACACTGAGGGTAACAAAGTGAGGAAAATCTGGAGGATCCGTGCTTTACGCCTCTTTAATCAGGATGCCGTAAGGACGGATGGAGCTCTCCACAATCATCTTCTCCTCTTCTATTGAGGTTCCCTGACGAACCGGGATGAGCCAGTAATCTTTTGTTTTGGTGATGACCCTCTTCTCAGGGTTGATCCGGTTCTGCATGATGACCTTGTAAGTCTTTCCATTCTTGGATGTGAACTTCTTGGCCATTGCATATTTATCTGCAATACTAATATCAGGAGTTGAGTAGATGCCTCTCCCACATTCAGTGCGAGGTCCAGCTCTGTAATGGGTCTCAGTGATGCCTTTGGCTCCCTCAATGCTGGTTCCATGGAAGGAAACTGGCCACTCGCCATCTGCAGAGTAGCTCCTCCATCCTTCCGGCCCCAGCCAGGTGTTTCCATCAGGATACTTATCCAGAACCTTCAGAGCGAAGCGGTACCACCCCCAGGGCCGTGTGTACGGTTCTTTACCACGGCAACACTCGGAGGAGCTTCTGCTTTTGCTTCTGAAATCGTAATCAAACTTCGGGTCAAAGAACTTATCCACGTTCACGAAGTACTCTTTCTGTAAAGCCGAGATTTCAGACTTCACAGATAACTGACTCATCAATGAAGTCAAGGTTGGTACCATAAACTGTAAACACGTTTTAAAGACAACATGGAGAAAAATTTCAACAGTCAGTTCTACAGCTGTGGAGCCTTCTTGGAGTTCAGTGTGAGGCTTCACGGTGATCCCAGTGAGGGCAGAAAGACCCTCCAGAAGAACTTCTCTACTGATCTCAGACATGGTTCACTTCTGTCGAAGACTGAGAGAGTGAGTGACAGAAATAGAGCGGGTGAGGCGTAGGACGGCCTCTTTTAATCTACCGAGAACTCAAGGAAATGATTCTGAGTGTTCACAAACACGCACAGCGACCCAGCAGCACACAGTGCTTTTACTTTCACCTTAACAACAAACTTAAACACTATGTGAGTTTAAAGGTTACAGCATTTCTATGAAGGGCCAGATCTGCCAAAATGAAAAATAAAACAAATTAAAGATAAATGACTCAGTAAATGAATGTATAAATTAGCATTGCAAAGAATAATGATGATAAATCTAAAAATAAATAAATATACATACAAATGAATATATGAATAAATAAAACCTTACATAAAGTAATATGTCTGCATTTACTTTAATTTAAATTATTTTGTAATTTCCCCTCCTCACCAATTTTTTTTAATTTATTTCCCTATTTAATTATTTCTGTATTTCCTTGTCCTTATGATAATAAAGGGGCTGTCAATCATGATGTCACGATATTCCTTAATATGTGTATAATTACAATCAAACTAAGCAATATATACCTTTTTTAGTTATTTTTATTTATTGAGTCATTTATTTTTTCAATTAGGCAAATCTGGTCCGTCATACATATTAGTTCATCTTTAAGTCATAAAACACTTTTAATGATGATGATTTCAGTGGCGTTCAGTGATGATGTCCTACACATTTTCCCATTTTTATAAGCTGATAGTTCATAGTAATGAAGTTAAGAGTTATTAAGGGTTCATCCTGGACATAAAACGTACACACTGTTATTTTTGTCACTTGACGTCATGTGTATTTCAGTAAAGTGATCTTTTGCCAAAACTTCATGTTCATGTTTTTCTTCTCAATAAAATCCTCAGAATTCCAGTATTAAACAGTTCTTACAGTGTTTATTTGTGTCCAGCTCGACTTGTACGAATATACAGTATGTGCCATTTTGACACTGTAGATGTAAATGTAAGGGCTCAGCTCGTACCACCGTCTGCCAGCAGAGGGCGATGACGGCGAGACGCCACCAACCCCGTGGAACTCCAATTCCTTGAAACCCAAAGGCTGATTACCACCAACCAGGCACACCTCTGCGTGACAAACAGCACTCAGTAGGCTTGTTGAGATGAACTGCGCCTCGCCTCTGTGGTTAGTGAGAGCAGCCGGTTGCAGTTGGGGGAGGAGGGTAGAAAAGAGCAGTCAAGTCGGACAGTCGCCTCATGAAACCCACGTGAGCTGTGGTGAATCTCGCGGTGTTTGTGTTCTTCGTAGCTGATGAAGTGGATGCAGTAGAAATCCCTCTGCTATTGCTTGAAATCGAGTCTGATGAACAACTAAGGTGAATCAACGTTTGTTTAATCGTCTGTAGGCTAAACAAAATATTCTTAATCATTGTTGTAGGTTAAGCCCAGTGTTTGTTGAGTACATAGTTGAGTGTCAAAGTAAGTTTCTGTAACATCTGTAACCACAAATGGTTTTATTCATCATTCATTCCTCCTGCAGATTGGTGAAAAAAATGTTTTAACAAACTGTTATCCATCATAATGAATAGCCTTAATATTTGTCAATAACTATTTGAATTAATAGACCTAAATTAAGTAGTCTGTTTTTCAAGTCTGTTTTTAATCATTTCACATGAAAACGTGTGAATAAATAATTCCAAATATATTCATTCTGTTTAAGGTAGAATGAGTGAATATGATAAACAGTGTATATAAAACGTCTAGAAATAATTAAATGGAAATTAAGCATTACCTTAATCATTAAGGTTGCATATACGGTAAATAGACTGCAGTTATATTGTGTGAAAGTGGCTTTAAGTCCAAACTGTCTAATTAAGAATTCTGTCTATGTGAGGACTTAATCACATTTCCCCTTCTTTTGGCTTGTTTCAAAAATGCAACATTTTATAGAGGATGTCGTCCCTCTCTATGGCCTCTCAGAATTTAGAGGCCATGTCAAACTCTCCAAAGGACAAGTAGAGGTGTGTAAAGTATGTGGAAGCCACATAACCATCCAAATGGTTTTCATGTTATTATGATAACCTTCTTTCTCCCGTGTACTATTTAGGATCTGATAAATACACTTGGCCCTGTTTATATGAATCCACGGCAGACAAAATTGCCACTGACAAAGAGCGTCTGTCTATGGACGCTGTCGAACCAGGAGTCATATAGGCGTATAGAAGACTGATTCAATGTCAAAATGTCAAAAAATTCAGTCTTTTCAAACATCTTCATGAGTTTTGTACTCTGTGGTAAATACACACATAGCACACCACATTTCCTGGCCAGTAGGACAAACCCTGCACAATTCTATGTTGGGTTTTCAAGCAGCTGGATCTATGCTGAACACTGTCTGTGCAGTAGATAGATGCCATATTCGTATTCAGAAGCCACTCTGCAACAACCCCCTGGGACCTCAGGAAACTTTGTTCTCTTTTTTTAATAATGACTATAATCAGATACTGCACCTTGTTGTCACTCTTGGCTTGCCAACAGGTTGGTTGGGGATAACAACTGCTCTGAGCCTAGCCTGGCTGGAGGTGGTGGCTGGAAGGTGTCCCCCATTGGAGTGGAGGACTGGGTGAATGTTGCTGGAGATTTGTTCACAACTGTAGGTGTAAGGGACGAAGGGGGCCTGGTTGCACAGGTGGAGCTCTGGGTGAAGGTTGCTGGGGATGTGTCCACAACTGTAGGTGTAAGGGATGGAAGGGAACTGGTTGCAGGAGTGGAGCTCTGGGTGAAGGTTGATTCCAGAGTAGAGGCTGTAAAGGCAGTCAACAGGGCCCTTATATAAAATTACTACAAATAAAAAGCATTCAAAATCTTGGATGTCAATTGTGTAATGCTTTTTATCTGGAAAAGTACATCCCAAAAAGTATTCCCAAAACCATTGCAGTTGCATCATACTTTTATTGTTCACTCGCCGTTCTTCAGCCTTTCCGCAACAGTTTTTGGTATATAAGGTTTATGAGGTTATTTTTACCTGGCTGTCCTTCATGTTGTGATGTTATGGCACATATAACATGAAACAGTGACGTTATGTACCAAGGTACATTAGAGAAATAGTGTATACCTGCTCCAAATGTGTAGATTGTTATTCTTAATTTGTTATTTGATACACTCTGATACATTCTGATACACTCTGTTACACCCTGATACAGTCTGATACACTCTAATACACTCTGATACAGTCTGATACATTCTAATACACTCTGATACAGTCTGATATATTCTAATATACTGATACAGTCTGATACGCTCTGTTACACTCTGATACACTGATACAGCCTGATTCACTTTGTTACACTCTAATACACTCTGATACACTCTAATACACTCTGATACACTCTAATACACTCTGATACAGTATGATTCACTTTGTTACATTCTGATAAAGTCTGATACATTCCCTTATGCTCTAATACACTCTGATACAGTCTGATACACTCTAATACACTGATACATTCTGATACAGTCTGATTCAGACTGATACGCTCTGATACAAACTGATACAGTCTGATACACTCTGATACACTGATACACTGTCATACAGTCTAATACGCTCTGATACACTCTGATACAGACTGATACACTGTCATACAGTCTGACACATTCTGATACACTCTGATACAGACTGATACACTGTCATACAGTCTGACACATTCTGATACACTCTGATACAGACTGATACACTGTCATACAGTCTGATTCGGTCTAATTCAGTTCAATACAGTTTAATATTGTCTGATACAACACTTGGACTGTTATTATTACGGTGAGTGTGATTGGCTGTTGAACATGGTTTAAGTAAAGCACACACTGTAAAGCTTTATAACAGACTGATCATTCTCAGAGATTCATAGTATTTGACGGTAATTAAACACAATGTGCTTAAAGACTGAAGCAGGTTTTAAAAGAACACTTAAAAAGTCATTACTATGTTTTGTCCTGATAGTGGCGCTGCAGTGCTGAAGGGGTCTGTAAACAGGAAACAGGATGAAGTCCAGCTTGTTTTCATGGAACATTCCAGAACTGATGCACTGTGGGTAGAGATGAGATGCAGGGTGTGCAGGCAGAGCTGGGTGTGTGCTCATCCTTCAGCCCTCAAAGTGATAGTTCAGCCAAAAATTCCCACAGTGGTTCAGTGGTTGCTGTGGGGATGGAAGAATTCTTGGCCTCAGCTGGCTATTCCCCTTCAGCTACTTCCTACAGTTCCTGTAGACTTTTTAGGGAGGGAAATTTCTATAACAACCCAACAGCTTGTGAAGGTGGAGCTCAAAGTAGGGTGAAGTCAGCTTCTTATTCACCAGCTTCCCGTTCAAATTTTCCCATTCTTTTCCCATACTTTTAGTAACTTCTTCATCCTCTCATGTTGGACTGATGGCAGACTCGACACTACAGTGACTCACTATCTACTATTGAGGTACAAAGTGGTATTACAAGACAGGAAGGGCTGGGGCTAGCTCATTAGCATGCTAACTTCAGTAGATATCTCTGCAACATACACACTGATGTAACATCAAGACTGTTATTTCTTCACATTCTGGTGATAATTTTATTTAATTTTGGAAAGTTTTAAATTAAAAATTTTACAAATTGCACATCTAAGCATGTAGATGTAAAGCGTCTGTGTGGAGAACACTTTTACATGTAGTAAAAACTGTCGTTAGCTAATTTTGCATGTTATTGAACGTACTCTGGGCATTAAAAAACATGGACTAGATGAATTTTTGAGGACAAGGTTTGGAGGGGACTTAACCTTGTTATGAAAAAAATTCACCACAATCCAGCATCATTAATTTAACAATAAACTAATGACTACAAAGAACTAAACACTAAGTGTGCTGCAGTCACTGACCAACATGCCTTATTTAAGTCATACACTCTAACGACAATGACAGTTCTCTGGGAGAACGATCAGCATGGCAGAAGAATGGTGAGCGGATGGAAAGGAAGCAAACCCCGGTTAGCTGTGGGTGGGATAGGGGTCTGTTGGGGTGGGTGTGATTAGGAAGGAGTGGGCAGGGTAAAGGAAAATACTGTTACATAAAAGGGTTCTATGTAGCACCTAAAAATTGCAGAACCATGTTTTGTAGCTATGCAGAACAATTTAGAGATAAAAGAGTTTCCATTACAGAGAAGAAACATTTAAGCATATATATAATATTTAAGTTATTCATTTGACCAAATGAGAAACTGTAGAACAGACTCAGTTTGTATCACAATACATACATTTAGTCAGTTATTCATTCAACCTAATGAGAAATTGTAGAACAGACTCAGTTTGTATCACAATACATACATTTAGTCAGTTATTCATTCAACCTAATAAGAAACTGTAGAACAGACTCAGTTTGTATCACAATACATACATTTAGTCAGTTATTCATTCAACCTAATGAGAAATTGTAGAACAGACTCAGTTTGTATCACAATACATACATTTAGTCAGTTATTCATTCAACCTAATAAGAAACTGTAGAACAGACTCAGTTTGTATCACAATACATACATTTAGTCAGTTATTCCTACAGCCTAATGAGAAACCGTAGAACAGATTTAGTTTATATCACAATACCAACTTTTAGAGCCAGTTATTCATTCAACCTAATGAGAAATGGTACGACAGTTGGTTCGACAAAATCGAGAAAGATTTGCTACTCAACTTTGACTTGAACAACACAGTAACACACAATTTGACTCAACTTTAAGCCTAATGACTCTAAAAAGTGGAAGAAACGCAGAGTCTGACTGCAGACGGGACTCAACACAGCCGCTTACTGTTCATCTGAATGGATTCATTTCCTGCCGTAAATCTGATAAGCAACTCAGTGAGAGCTCGTTAATGAGCTGATTAGTTGGTTCAGGTGTGCTGGAGCAGCGCCTGCTGGGAAACACTGATCTAAAAACTTCATTCCAGTGACAGATTCCTTTCTTTTCTTCATTCAGTATCCACTGCTTTATATTCACTGTTAATTCTCTATCCTCTGTTCATTTTGCTCATGTTATTGTTTGCTATCAGCATTTCTTCCTCTTGCTCTTAGGGAGTTTTTCTTGCCAGTGTTGTCCTTGGCTCATCAATAATTGTTTTAAAGGATTTTCTTTGGAAATTATTCAGGGGGAATAAAAGATCCCCAATTAAAGTATCACCCATTTCAGCAAAAAGTTTCATATATATGCAATATATATATATCCCTTGTGTGGGGTTCATGTTTTTATTACTAAGTGGGTCTGGTGAACCCACTGCATTATTGTTTTATTAAATTAATACAGCCATAACAATTTATGTAAAAATACCAGATGTTTAAACTATCACAAGTGGCCAGTGTAGGATTCTCCTTTAGCAGCTGTAGCGAGTCAGCAGCCTGTCCATGTTGTCCACCCTCACACACACACAAACACACTCACACACACACATATACAAACACATACACACAGACACACACACACTAACAGCAGGCCATGTAGGAGGAGAACAGAGTGAAGGACACAGTACCTCCACACTTTTATTCCCCGTGGGTTTACCCCAGCAACACATGTGTAATATGAATGTGTAGGGGGTGAACAGTGTGAAATCACTGAAAATGTGCTATTTTATATGTTCTTTACAGAAAATGAGCAAAGCCCAAGATATCTGGGGTTGAAATAATAATAAGTCGCCTCACACTATACTGAGGATTAGAAAGTGAGGAACATCGGGAGGATCAGTGATTTATACGTCCTCTTTAATCAGGATGCCGTAAGGATGGATGGAGCTCTCCACGGTCTTCTTCTCCTCTGCTGCTGAGGTTCCCTCTGGAACTGAGATGAGCCAGTAGTCTTTCTTCTTTCTGATTTCTCTCTTCTCAGGGTTGATTCAGTTCTGCATGATGACCTTGTAAGTCTTTCCATTCTTGGATGTGAAAGTCTTGCTAATCGCAAAACGTTCTGCAGTATGAATATTAGGACTTGAGTAGATTCCTCGCCCATACAACTGATGATCTCCAGCTCTGTAATGTGTCTCAGTGATGCCTTTGGCTCCCTCAATGCTGGTTCCATGGAAGGAAACTGGCCACTCACCATCTGCAGAGTAGCTCCTCCATCCGTTCGGCCCCATCCAGGTGTTTCCATAAGGATACTTATCCAGAAACTTCAGAGCGAAGCGATACCACCCCATACAGGATTTCTTTTTTCTCACTGTGTGAGGACTTGGTACTTCTAAAGCAAAGTGTTTGTAATTATCTATAAGGAATTTACTTCCAATATCTTTTATTAATAAAACAAATGGAAGTGATGTGGCAAGTGAACTGGAAGGCTCTCATTCACTGCTCTTGTTTGGAGCGCATGAGACATTGGCTGTCACTCATCTGTGATAAAATGCGCAGTTACGGTGAAATAAGATCCAGTGGCAATGAATGTCCACGCAGCACATTACAGTGGTCCTACCCGTTTTCTTTTATATTTTTTTGATTTTGTAACTTTGGTTTTGGTCTCATTGTAGAGAGTGGGGGCAGGGGATTGCTGTTTCAGTAAAATATCCTCGAGATGGGATGCTGTATCTCGGCTCCAAAGTGTACAACATAGTGCGAAAGCCCTGGTTCTCAATGAATGAGAACTGGCGTGCAGACTGCAGGTCACACAGCAACGCAGTCTTGCCTGGCTAGTAGCTAACGAAAAGGCAAAGAGAGATTTAAGATGAACATTTGGAGATGAATGGACTTATTTGCATTTATAAGCAGTGCAGTTGGTTTCCTGGAACGTTAAACCTGCAACGAGAGACTGTCAAACACTAAAAAGTTGCGAAGATGAAGTCAGCTTCTCTTTCGAATTTTCCCGTTCCACCTCAAATTGTGCCACATTTACATTCTGGCGCCTCAGGCAGAATTTAAGGTGGAATGGGAAAATTCAAACAAGAAGCTGGAGAATAAGAAATGACTTCAGCCCCGTAAAACAGTCGAATGTTGAGAGACATTTTACAAGAAACTGATCTAGTTTTGAGGAAAAGTTTTCTGGCGGAGATGGGAGGAAAGCTGCTATAGCTAAAGCTTAAAGCAGAGCAAAGTAAGTCTGCGTTTTCATTTATATTTTTTAGCTTATACTAGGTCATCAGCACATACTGAGACATATTGGACATAAAATGTTGTGGCTCCCAAGGTGGTTTTATTTTTTCTGAAAGGACAAAATGGCTCTTCTTAACATTTGGGTTGTGACGTCTGACCTAACCTGGCTTTTAATGCAGAAGGTGCCGGTCGGATTTCTCGCTCATCCAGTGGTGTTTTTTGTTATGTGCTGCACAGACTGTCCGCTGTCTGCTGCACTTCCACACTTCCAGGTTCCGCCTTTTGTGTTCTGTCAACATTATGTTATAAATTGAAATTTAGAAAATTGATTTTTGACATTTGTGAATCGATTCAGCATCGTCCATGTCCGCATCACAATGCATCTAAGAATCGATTTTTTCCCCCCAACCCTAGTTTGTGGGTAGTAAATGAATGAAGGAGAAAGTAGTTCCACTTCTGTAGTGACTGGCTAAGACTGAGCCTTTGGAACTGGAGAGAAATCGCATTCAGAAAAGTGACTTCATGTTTTTAAAGACTTTGACTCAGTAAAATCTGCACAATTTCAGACTTTCAACAGTGTTTATTTGTGTCCATTGTGGACATTGTAGGTGCCATGTCAACACTGTAGATGTGTCTGTGAAAAACCCCGAAGGCTGACCTCTAGGGGGGTCGGGGGGTAGGGGCAGTGTAGCAGAGCTGACAGAGCTGACCCCTAGGTGGAAGAGAGGAAAATTTGACTTTGTCATACATTTTAAAATTTGCACTGACCTCAAAAAAGATTTTATCATGAGTTCTTTTTTATTTTTGAGAGATTCTGCGCTGTATTGAAAAATTTGTTGAAATGTTTTTTTTTTTTCTCCTTTAGTGTATTTTTTTCATTTACAAACCTAATTGCAAAAAAAATTGGGACAGTATAAAAAATGTAAATAAAAACAGAAAGCAGTGATTGGCAAATCCTTTTTGAGCTGTATTCAATGGAAAACAGTACAAAGACAAGATATTTGACTATTTCAACTAATTAACTTCTTCTTTCATATTTATATGCTTATTCATTTGATGCCTGCAACACGTTCCGAAACAGTTGGGACAGTACCATGTTTACCTTAATGTTAAATCACCTTTCTTTTTACAGCATTCAGTAATCATTAGGGAGCTGAGGACACTGATTGATCTAATTGTAAAAGTGGGATTTTTCCCATTCTTGCTTGATATAACACTTCAGTGGCTCAACAGTCTCCACAGTAATATTGCTTCATAATGGCCAAGGTTTCAATGGGAGACAGTTCTGGACTGCAGGCAGGTGTAACATGTGCATAATGTTTCTTGATGTTGAAGCAATCATGGACATCCCTGAAAAAGACGGCGGCTAAAAGGCAGCATATGTTGCTCCAAATGTGTTCGGTGTTAATGGTGCATTCACAGATGTGCAGCTTACCCACTAATACCCCCATACCATGACAGACACTGGATTTAGACATTTATGGTGGTAACAGTCTGGATGGTTCTTTTCTTCTTTGGCTCGGAGAATATAACATCCATTATTTCCATAAACAATCTGAAGGTTGACTCATCAGACTGCTTTACACATTTCCACTGTTGTGATATGCAGTCATTAGCAGTTCACTAGGTGGCAGTAGTTAGTAACAAACTGAAAGGTTTGCCTCTCGAATCTCATTCCCATCCTCTTAACACAATCTCTGTCTTATTCTTTTGCTGACATTGCTATTTACTGAGAACTGAATGTATAATTATACAATATTATATAACATACAAGCATATATATATATATATATATATATATGTATATATATATATATATATATATATATATATATATATATATATATATATATATTATGTTTCTTAATTCTTTAACATTCAACTTTGTACTTCAATGAACTGGTGTAGTATAAGGGTATGTCACATATGTATATGGTGAATAGAAGTGTGGTGCGTGGGTTGCCAATAGAAATGGCGGTACGATGTGGCTCGATGAACTGCATGAAAGTATGTGAGGCCTTGTATATGCCCTAACAGCACTGACTCTTGGGTAAACATGTAGCAAAGGCTGGCCTAATGTTTCGTATGTCAAGAACTGCTTTGGTTTTCTCTCTCTAGTAGATCGCCTATATTCAGCATGGGTGTCGGTGGATGTTGATGGCCCTCCCTCCAGTTCCGCTTCATGTTCACTCAATGTTCACTCAGATTCAACTGGATCAGGTAATGACTCATCTTCAGCCTGTTGGATCGGCTCCCTTTTGCCTTGCCTGAGTTCGTGTTGTCTCTGTTCTACTCTTTTGTCTTTCCCATAGGTGGGACTCTCATCTCTCTGAGCTGGATTTCTCTGGACCAAGATAGGTATTTCATGGTAGGTATCTTTCCCTCTTAATTCCTGCCTAACAGGCATTCTTAACCAGTAACCTCCTGAGCTTTGTTCCTCCTCTGAAACAGTTGCGTCACTGGTGGGAACCTGTTCTCTTGGGTTCCTACTGATTCCTACTGGTCTCTGTCTTGGTGGCATGCTACTTGTTCTTTCACCACATATATGGTCTTTTCCCAGTTGGATCTTAGTTTACCAGGGCCTCCACGCTCACAAAAGTTCCTCACAAGAATCTGGTCCCCGGTTTGTAGGACTACACCCTTTGTCCTCTGGTCGTAATAGGACTTGCCTCTGGCACTGGATTGTTTACTGTTTTCTTCAGCAATTTTGTATGCTTCAGTCATCCTCTGAGACCACTGCTCTGCATATCCCTTGGGTGTGACGGCATCTTCCTCTCCAATTAGCCTGTACAGCAAGTCTACAGGTAGACGGGGATGGCGGCCATACAGCAAAAAGTAAGGGGAGTACCTGGTGGATTCAATTACGGTGGTACAATTATATGCATGAATCACTTGGGGCAGGTGGTCTTTCCATCGTTCTTTCTCTTTTTCTCCCAGTGTGTGCAGCATCTGTAATAGAGTTCAGTTAAATCTCTCAACAGGATTACTTTGGGGGTGGTAAGAGGATGTTCTGGAGTGACCTATTCCTGACAACCTCAAAGAGCTGATTTTCAAACTCCCGGCCTTGGTCATGGTGTAACTTAAAAGGGTATCCAAACTGAGGGATGAAATCATTAAAGATTCGCTCTGCTGCAGTTTGACCAGATTTGTTTTTTGTCTCATAGGCCTGAGCGAATCTTGTAAAATGGTCCACCACCACTAATATATATTCATACCCTCCTCAGCTGCCCTCTAGATGTAAGAAATCAATACAAACAAGTTCAAGAGGTCAACTAGAGGTGATGCTACCCAGTGGAGCATGAATGTGGGTGACTGTTTTTTTTCTGAGCGATACATGGACACTTCTGGGTAACATAGGCCTCGATCTATTTCTTCATATATGGCCAGTAGAATCTCTCTCTTGCAAAGTGGAGGACTCATCATGGAGATGTTTCATCACAATTTGTCTGTACTTGGCAGGGAGAATGAGTTGTTTCCGCTCCCTGGTTCGTCTATAAAGAATCCCATTTTCCAGGTGTAGTCTCCTCCACTCATACAAGAGTTTCCTGGTGGCCCCACTCACTCCGTTTCTAAAGTCACTTGTGAGAGCTGTATCTGTCTCTTTCAGTGTTATTATCTGTCCAATCACCTTTCGCTAGATCATCATGACTAATGGACGCTAGAGTCGTACACAGCTGTGGGTGGGTGTCCTTGGAGGACATGTTAAGAGCAGCGATTCATGCCACATCCTTTTGCTCAGCAGCTCTACTCCCTTGCCAGGTGGCGCGCAGCACATCTGGAGACAACTCCTTGGTGCACTCCTGCATATATGTGTCAACGTTGAGAGGGATGCGTAATAATGTGTCTGCATCAATGTTTGCTTTTCCGGGTCTGTATTTCACGTCAAACCGAAAGTCTGCCAATTTCCCCACCCAGCGATGACCGTCGGCGTTAAGTTTGGCAGTGCTCATTACATAAGTTAGGGGATTATTGCCCGTATACACTGTGATATGTGGGGCATTTCCCAAAACTTTTCACATATTGCCTATTTCAAAGCCAAGAACTGAAGTTTGCCACTATGCAGGTTATAATTTTTCTCTGCATGTGTCAACGTTCTTGACCCATACCCAATCACCCTCAGCTCCCCAACCTGACACTGGTACAGAACAGCCCCGAGACCGTCCTCTGATGCGTCAGTATGCAGTATGAAGGGTAAGCTGAAGTCAGGATAAGCCAACACTGGAGGTGCTACTAGCATGCCAAGAAGTCATTCTAGTGCTGCCTTGTTTTAGAGGCCAGTTGTTGCCCTTTTGTCTTTCTCATGGCTGGCTGGACTTGTGATGCCCCTGCCCTCCCTTGAAGCAGCTGGTAGAGGGGTCTGGCTATCCGCGAAAAGTCCTGTATATAAGATCGGTAGTAGCCAAGAAACCCCAGGAGTCTCCTTACGTCACCAACTGTCTATGGTGTTTTGTTCTTCAGGCTCAATATGGCATCCAAATCCTTGGGGTCTATCCTCACACCATCAGCGGACACCAGGCGGCCCACATACCTGACCTCTCGCTGGAAGAGATTACATTTCTCTGGTCTGAGCTTTACTCCATGGAGCTGGAGCGCCTTGAGGACTTTTCGGACCCCTTCCACATGCTCATCAAAGGATTTGGCGTAACAAAGAATATCGTCAAGGTAAGGGATACAACACTCACCTCTGAGGGTATCCAACATCTCCCCCATACTCCGCTGGAACGCTGCCGGCGCGTTAGATAATCCGAATGGGATCCGGACCCATTCGTAAAGACCCCAGGGAGTGATGAAAGCAGTGTAGTGTCTGGAGCCCTCAGCGATGAAACCTTGATGATATGCTTTTCCTTGGTCCAAAATGCTGAACCATGAATAACCACCAAGTGTATTCATGAGATTCTCAATACGAGGAAGTGGGTGCCTGTCTGGGATTGTCTTCTGGTTGAGAAGTCGATAGTCAACACAAAGGCGAAGTGTTCCGTCCTTCTTATGGACACAAACGACGGGAGCTGAGTATGGAGACTTGGATTTAACTATCCACCCCTTTGCCAAAAGGTCCAGGATATACTCCTTAACTTCCTTGAGCAATAGTTTTGGCACTGATGAATATGCCCGTTGTACTAATATGCTATCTTTAAGGTTTACGGACATTTGTAGGATTGGAATGCACCTCACATCATTACTATCAATGAACTCATACCTTTGTCTTCTGATTCAAGTAGAGACTTGCTAGACATGAAAGAGTTTACATTGTCAAAGCAGCCTTCAAGGTCGGTAGCGCTGATCTCTGTGGAGTCTCTCTCTGGTACAGGACCGATGGCTTTGGCAATGTGGAAGAGTTCCTCTGCTGACAGGGTGAGAAGGCTCTTTCTGATTTCCCACACCAGACTCTTCCTCTCATCATCTGCCATGGCAGCTCTTCCCTCACTTCGTTCCCCCTAATGCTCAGTCCTGAATTCACTCAGTTCTCAGTTTGCTTATTTCCCGTTTGATGACCTTAATACAGCCTCCCCCAGCCTCAGCGCAACCTTCATACAACCGTCCAGCAGCCACCATGTAGCTTTGACACAATCTCGATGGAGCTCCAGCACCGTGTCCAAGAAGCCTTGATACTCTTTTGGTCCCGGATACCACAAATCACTGGATCAGCTCCCCACCACCAGGAGGCGCCAATCCCAGACGAGCCCCCAAGAATCTGTTACACCCCCCCAAGCTCACGGCCGGTGCATCCAGATTATCTGACCTGTAAACAGGGTAAAAGAGATGAGACACGAAGACCTGTGGCTTTAGTTGCAGATGCCTCTCGAATCTTATTTATTAAACCATCCTCTTAACACAATCTCTGTCTTATTCTTTTGTTGACATTGCTATTTACTGAGAACTGAACGTATAATTATACAATATTATATTACAAGCATATATATATATATATATATATATATATATATATATATATATGCTTGTAATATAATATTATATATATATATATATATATATATATATATATATATATATATATATAAAATCCCTTTAACCACTCACACAGAAATATGCTCACACTTTCTCCAGTACTCATTCTTGTCTCATGTTGCATCCAATTACAGGTACTTTGTAGTAATGTAGTACTCTCCTACAGTCCCCTACAGACATGTATGACTAGCTTGGCTAGACAACACCATGCTTGGTTTTTTTTAGGTATAGAGGGAGGAATATCCGCTTCCAAAACAAACTTCTGCTGACTCGACCTGAACATTAAAATATGCATCCATACCATTTACCAGCTAGGTTAGTATAAGTTTTGTGCTCTTTTATCACAGTTCTCACAGGGTAACAGAGATGATACACAAAGAGCCGTGGCTTTAGTTGCAGATGCCTCTCAAATCTGAGAGGCAGAGCCAAAGGCTGCAGAAACTAATGTGAGCCCAATGCACAGCGCTGCCTACTGGCCACTCTATGTAACGACAAGCTGGAAGACTCAAGGTGATTCAGCAGAGGTTTATAATGTACCATACAAAATAAAATAAAATAACAAAGCATATCACAAATGTGACAACACTTTGAGAATGTCACATACCACTGTGTTGTGACAGCACAGCACCTACTCTCATCTCAGATGCATCTACTTTGACCACAAATGGTCTGGAAGGATCTGGGTGTTTAAGAACTGGGGCTGAAGTGAAGGCTGCCTTTAGATTCTGAAAGGCCAGCTTAGTGGCCGGGGTCCATATTTTTGGAGGTTCTTTTCAGGAGGGCTGTCAAAGGTGCTTCTTGCTCTGCAAGTCTTTCACAGAGTTTGGAACTGGCTGGATGAGTCAGTAATCTTTCACGGTTGATCCTGTTTTGCATGATGACCTAAGTCTTTCCCTTCTTGGATATGAACTTCTTGCTCATCACGTACTGATCTGCAATACCAATTTCAGGAGTTGAGTAGATGCCTCTTCCGTAAGCCTGACAACTTCCAGGCTTGTAATGGGTCTCAGAAATACCATCAACCCTCTGGTTCCAAACATGAGAAACCATCATGCTACTGTGTCAAATGCAGCCACATGGGCTGGGGAGGACTTCAGGAAGCCATCATCGCTTAACACAGTGCGCTACTGCATCAAGAAATGCAACTTGAAGCTATATTATGCAAGTAGGAATCCTTACATTACTTCTATGCAGAATCACCACCGAGTTCTTTGGGCCTGAGATCATCTCAGATGGTCCGAAAGACAGTGGAGATATGTGCTATGGTCAGATGAGTTGACGTGATGGTACCTTTGACGCAGAGGCATATATTGGGATTTTAGCAACATATGCTGCTGTCAGACAATGCCAGGCCTCATTCTGCACATGCTGCAGCGTAACTTCGTAGACACAGAGTGTGTGTGCTTGACTGGCCTGCCTGGAGTCCAGATCTGTCTCCTAGTGTGTTGGGTGTGTTGCAGGCATCAAATTCTATATTTGTTTATATTTACAATGTAGAATTAGGTTTATCAGTGAAAATATTGTATTTTTTTTCTTTGTACTTTTGTCAGTTAAATGAAGATTC